TGTTTTTTGACAGGGTCATACACATAGGTGCACACATACATATATCGTCGTGTAAATTGGCTAGTATATATATATATATATATATATATATATATATATATATATATATATATATATATGTGTGTGTGTGTGTGTGTCACCAATAATAAATATCTAGGTAAATATGTGTGTATGGCTATAACGAACTTTTGTTCAACTACAAAAGTAACCGCCCATATCATCTTCAAGCCTCATTCAATGTTTAAAACTATCCTCCAACCCCACCCCCACCCTCCTCGCGTCACCTCAGCCTCTGATAAGAGGCGAGAAGCATGCAGAAGTAACGACCAAGCAAATGATTTTTTACTAAGGTCTAGTGCGTTAGTAGCGTCTGTGAGGGAATCCTATTCCATGTCAACCAGTGGATTAGTAGCGTCTGTGAGGGAATCATATTCCATGCTAACCAGTGGATTAGTAGCGTCTGTGAGGGAATCCTATTCCATGCTAACCAGTGGATTAGTAGCGTCTGTGAGGGAATCCTATTCCATGCTAACCAGTGGATTAGTAGCGTCTGTGAGGGAATCCTATTCCATGCCAACCAGTGGATTAGTAGCGTCTGTGAGGGAATCATATTCCATGCCAACCAGGGGATTAGTAGCGTCTGTGAGGGAATCCTATTCCATGCCAACCAGTGGATTAGTAGCGTCTGTGAGGGAATCCTATTCCATGCCAACCAAGGGAGGTGACTGTTGTTTCGCGGCGTTAAAAGAAGTCATCAGAAGTAATAATGTACCCTGTACACAAATCAAAACATTGTAAATAGTTGTAATATATTTACTAGTTTTTAGACAGTTGTAATATATTTACTAGTTTTTTAGACAGTTGTAATATATTTACCAGTTTTTTTTAGACAGTTGTAAAATATTTGCTAGTTTTTTTAGACGGTTATAATATATTTACTAGTTTTTAGACAGTTGTAAAACATCTGCTAGTTTTTTAGACAGTTGTAATTTATTTTGCTGCTGTAGCCCGAGGTCAGTGGCGGTCGCCTTGCGAGAACTTCCCATCTGCTAAAGTTACTTGACATGACATGCATCTCATGAAAGCCCGCCCAACCAGGGCGGAGTGGCAACGCGTCATTTCGACCAAACACACCGTCGAGTAACGCCCTACGAGAGATGACTAATTTTGTGCTAGACCCCCCTCCTCCAGAGTACGCCACCGCACACCCTTTTTCTTTCATGCTACTGAACGCTATCAATATTTTCATGTTCCAATTGAGGCCATTACAATTTCCGTAAAACAAAGAAAATATTACGCACCAAACGCACTGGCGGTATCTATAATTTCCCTTAGCGCAGTTACCGGATTGTTGTTGTTTTTTTCCGCGCTGTTGAACTCACCACTTCAACAAAGTCTCTCTTTAATACCTAGAGGTGTACATTGATGTTTTGATAACCTACTTAGGATTCCCACGTATACCAGCCGTGGGGGGGGGGGGTGTGGGGGGGATCTGACTGCCCTTCTGAGTCGGAGCCGTTGGATTGGGAGTAAAAAAACATAGTGACGCCACGTTGAAAGAGTCGTGGCCTTGAAAACTCAGTGTGTTGAACTCCCCACTTCAACAAAGTATCTCTTTAATACCTAGAGGTGTACATTGATGTTTTGGTAACCTACTTAGGATTCCCACGTATACCAGCCGTGGGGGGGGGGGTGTGGGGAGGATCTGACTGCCCTTCTGAGTCGGAGCCGTTGGATTGGGAGTAAAAAAACATAGTGACGCCACGTTGAAAGAGTCGTGTCCTTGAAAACTCAGTGTGGGATCCTTACAGAGATGATTCACTGACACACACGGCACCGCAGATGTTTACCCTGAACACAACCGACGCCAGCTTCGACAGTCGCCGAGAGACGTGTCGGGGAGATTGTGACAGGCATGCGTGAGGTGGTACGTGTGACGCGGTATGGATGTGAGGAGACATGTGCGAGGAGGTATGTAGATGAGGAGGTATCTTCGAGGAGAGGTAGGTGAGGAAGTCGATTGCGTCTGGCGCGTGAGGAGATATGTGTGAGGAGATATGTGTGTGGCGGTATGTATGAAGGGGATGTGCGAGGAGATATCTCTGATAAGGTTTTGTGTAGTTGTGTGTGCCTTTAGAATAGAAACCTAGTGTTTCTAGCTATCTGTCTATTTGTCTGCCTCTTTTCTTTGTCTGTTATTTGAATCTGTCCTATTCGCGAGTCGGATTAAGCTAGAAAGGGTGTGGAGCATAGGTTAAAA